TTTCGAGAATACCCATCTACATATTCTATGAATAATCAACACTTGAACAACTTTCACAAACTCTCTATTGGTTTATGATTGAATGGAATTTAAGTTTTGTATAAAATCGATAAGTACATTGTTGAAAATATGTATTGTTTAGGGTAATTGTTTTTATCATGGAAGCAACCGAATAGAATTCACAAACAAATGAATCCATCCATGTTAGTTTAACATTGTTCCTATTCTATTTCTCTCTGTACATATCGATCTGAAGAAGAATTGAATGGGATTGAAAAGTCAATAAGTTGTAAATCAGTCATCTTTAAACAATGCTAACATTTAAATAGTGTATAAAAAAATTTTTTTAAACACTCATGTATGGACATAAATAACTATTTGCATAAGCATTTTCGCTTCAGAAATAAAAAGGATTTAGGCGGATTTTTGATAGGAAAATCTAGGAGAAGTGTTTCACAAAATATGTTCCCATCAGTGATATCGATATATATATATATATATTGATTGTGTGTATACTGATAAGAGACAGTTGCATATTAATGCATGCATTTAATAAAACTATAATCATGACGTTTACTTTAGCTGGTTGTTTTCTATTTGTAATTTATTGACGAGGAATATTAAACACCAGTGCATAATTGAGAATGTGAGAATATTAAGTCAAAGAATGTGAATAGAATGTGGATTTTGTGAAATCACAAATGATCTGTTAGAAGGTGATTGTTAATATGGATAATCGGTACTGTAGTTATCAATGTGGAATTACTGGCTAATATCTCTGAGATGGTTTACCATCAGATAATGAGGTGAACGGAATTTCTTGTCGACATCCGCCAACCACCATCTAATATTGATATTTACTCGAAGGTTATACCTGATCTGAGTATACTTTCAAGAAATGTCAGTTATGTTGTTATAATAGACAAACTGTTCACATAATATTTTATTCAAAATTATATAAGTTCAATTAAATTTATTTCTCATCGTATTTTGGATAGACAGCTTTGGAAAATATATTTTCATGAATGGAATCATCCAACGCTGACATAAATACAAACTATTTGTAAAGTGAAACAGTATATTATTACTTATATTAATGGACTTATACAACTACGGACGTGAATTCGACCGGAGAAACATCGTATTCTGTATCAATTTAATTCTAAGAATGATAATGAATCCATAGAAGCACGGTATTGAAATCACTTAGCATTCAATAGATGCATGAATCAAATCCAATATTTCAGTGCAATTAGAAAAGGTTAATCAACAACCAATTCAGAGGTCAGTGGAATAAAACAGTCAGCTTGACAACAAAGACAACTACAGACAATGAAATCTACAAGTAAAGCCAATCACAAACGAGAGCAACAAAACAATCTGATTTAAAGTTTGTGGAATAAACAAGATCACTCCTAGATGAACGGAGTGTCGATGATGTTGTCTAGAACGATAATGAAGGCTCCCCAACCCAACTATCTAGGTTAGATAATTCAACAACAATAACAGTATAATTCATTCTGTTTATAAGCACATTTGTTCAGTTTTTGTGAAGATATACTCTTCAAAGTTTTTATCTATTTACTTACTATACATTAATTTCTTGAACATATTAGAACTATCCATAAAACTCACAAAAGTTTTTATAAATATTGTAATCTCACATAAAGCACTAGAATTTTTAGTAACACGCGCACTAAACATTGAAAAATCTCTTTCCCTTTGTATATTTCTGTTATTCAATGGTGTCAGTCCAAAATAATCGTTTCTGTATAGACACTGTGAATATGAAATAACATAATGAAATAGTACTAATCCCAATAAGTCTGGAACTTTAACAAGACACGAGGAAGAACTCAAATTCGAAGTACACAGTATGCAATTGTATTGTATTGTCATGATAGGTTTAAACACAGCATAAAATATCTAAGTGTACAGTAAATGTATTAGTTTTTCACCACTGATACTTAACCGGGTAATTATGATTCTAAAACAGTAAATTCTAACGGGTTCACTGTGTTCACTGTCTTCAGTTCTGATCTAGTTGCGGATATGTGGTGTTTAAATGAACTAATGATACCATTGTACTTGTTGAATGCTTGATTTCGAATTCTAAATACAGTACATTCGTTTGTGGTTATCTAGTACTTCTTGATCCGATTACGTTATTGCTGGGATTTTTAGTTCATACTATAATTCAAATACTTCAGTTTACTACAGAATATTTCGTTTCTTGATGAAATCCTTCGAGTTTTCAAAGTATTTTTAATTTAATTTCATAAATAATATTTCAGACGTGGTTTTCAATTATGAAGTGGTCTGAATTGAAAAGTTAGAGAAAACTATAAAGTATTAGATAATTATTTCGTCCTTATTCAGGAGTCTTCGAAATGAAGCACGATATAACTAAGCCATTATTGTTTGTAGAAAATGAGTCTTCCTGAAAGTGAATTTCTGTTCTTCTTCAGCTGAATGATCGGTTATTTAGAAAAACTGTAGATTGATTATTAAATAAAATTGTTCGAATATTATAATTTTACATTTATCCTTTCATTACATTCAGACAACAACTTAGGCATGAAAGTAAACTGTACATATATAGTGTAGCAGCAGCCTCTGAATCAGTAGGCCTCAACATGAAAAAGGGAAAAAGCAATATCCTGAAACACAACACAGAAAACACCAACCAAATCAACCACACTTGATGGAGAAGCTCTGGAAGAGGTGGAACATTTCACGTACCTGGGAAGCATCATCGAAGAACGTGGAGGATCCAGTGCAGACGTAAAGGCGAGGATTTGTAAAGAACATATGGAACTCAAAACAACTGTTAACCAATATTAAAGTCACAATCTTCAATACGAATGTCAAGACAGTTCTACTGTACGGAGCTGAAACTTGGAGAACTACCACAAGTACAAGTACTTATGGACAGTTGTCTGCGCATGATACTCAATATCCATTGGCCGGATGCCATCAACAACAGTCTACTGTGTGAGAGGACGAACCAGCTTCCAGCTGAGAAGGAAATCAGGAAAAGACGCTGGAAGTGGATAGGATATTCATTACGGAAATCATCGGACTGCATCACGAGGCAAGCGCTAACTTGGAATCCTGAAGAGAAAAGGAAAAGAGGAAGGCCAAAGAACACACTGCGTCGGGAATCGGAAGCAGACATGAGAAGAATGAATCGCAACTGGAAAGGACTGTCCATGACAGAGTTAAATGGAGATAACTGGTGGGCGGCCTATGCTCCTCCATGAGGGGTAAGTAAGCGCATTCATAAGAATAATTGTATCATTCAGATGAAATTCTTTTGTCAAACATTATATATTTGATGAAGCGAACACTAACGACTTGTAAAACTACAATAATAAACATGTCTTAATTTAGAAAATATTTGACATGAAATATTTTAAATGGAAATCGTGTTATCTAAGTATGAAATAGTCACTGTATATTTTCAATTAATAAAATGAATTTGTGGATAGTTTTTCATATGGTGGATTTGATTTGTACTACAATGAGATTTCAGATAAAAAAAGCATTGCAAACTAAAGAATAGTAAAGAGCTAGTTCATTCCAGTGTAAAACTTATCAACAGCAATGCATAGCATCTGCTAATGTATTAGTTGTCAAATGATATAATGATCTAGTAATAAGTGAACTAGCTTAGTATAAATGGTGGTAAATATCAGTATAGAGCTTTAAGGAAATAACAAATTTTTCATAGTTTTAAATCACGAACTGGTCTTAGGTAGACAATTGAAAACCTGGTAAAACTGAATAATTGTTTCGTCCTAGTACAGAAAACTTTGGCACTGGTCGTCTTTAACCCGCCACAGGGAGTTGAGCGCAAAACCATAGGTCTTGAGTGAGAATGTTTAACCTATAAACCACTAAGCTGGAATTCGATGGTGTTGATTTTTAATTCTAATCAATTTACGATATTGTGCGAACATTTCTCATCGTCTGCAGAGTTCTAGTGAGAAGACGTTATAAGTGGAATTCAACCATGTCAAGTAAAAGACAGTTATCCACCACAGATTGACTGTGAACATTCAATACACTGAATCAAAGATTTAAATCAACTGAATAACAAACGGTTATTATTTTCAAAAGAACTGGATTGTAGTTAATTAAAAATAGTTAGATAAACATGATATTCATTTTTTTACATAAATAATTATCCACATTATTCGTTTCCATGTTATGATTTGAAGGTCAAATTGACAGATTTTACAGAATTGTATTCGCTAGTAATAATTTCAAGATTCATTGAATTAAAACCTGCTCTCGTTATAGTGAAAGTATATCTAACGGAGGAAACAAGATTATTATTTTTATCGTTTTCCGTCATAGTGACATTTAATCTATGCAAAAAAGTAAGACTAATTATAAATAAAAGCATATCGGATAAAGTATAACTTCAGTGTTTTATATAAGTAGCCGGTTATGATTTACTGAACGAAATATTTCAGTCGATATTGGTATATGAAAATTTTATGGTAAGTTCTTTGATTGCCTTGTGATCAGTTACATTCATTTGAAAGTTTAGGTGCTTGATATTAACTTCAAATCTTAACAGGAATATAAACATTTTAGATCCAATATCTGATTAATGAACATAGAACAGTTAACAGCCTAAATATTAGGTAAGTTTAATACTGTCACTAAATTTATTCATCTTATTCATAGTTATAAATAATAAATAAGTTACTTCACATACCGTTAGGTGGTACATTATTCCAAACTATCATAATACTTGAACAATGGGGTTAAATATTTATGTTAACTGAAGCATATCTATTCGGTTTGAATCGCTTAAGTTAAACTTTTAATTAAGACAGTTTATGCTGTAACACATCGGTTATTTTGGTATTTTTTTTAACTTTCTATTGTAAAGAAAAAAACAAACAAAATATAATTGTAAATATTTCGTAATCAGCTTTTTATTATAACATTCCGAAAGAAAATAGGTTCCATCGGAATATATTACACACTTATAAAATGTTGTATAATCATAGCAAAATATATCTTACATGGTACATGTTTTATATTTTAATTTAAAGAGTAAATATTATCAAGGTTTTTTTTTCTTGAAAAAATTATTTTGGTGGAACAATTACAACTGGTATATGAGCATGATGTAACACATAATCAGAAACACTTCCAAGAAAAGTACGTCGAAGTACACCAAGACCTCTACTTCCCATTATAATCAAATTTGCATTATGATCTTCTATTGATTTTAATATAGCTGCACCAGGTCGATTGTCTACGTGAAGAAATGCTTGACAGTTTATATCATATTTTTTTGCTTCAGATATATATTTTTTTCCCAATAACTTGCCTTTATCAATACTATCTTGCATTATTTTAGTAATATCGGTTAATGGTGGAGTTTCCATTGTTAATCCAACTGCAGGTGTATTATAAACTGGCTCAACAATATTAACAAACTTCACAATATCATTTGAACTCTTCATATTATTCAAATACCAATGAAACGCTCGTTCAGCATGTTCACTCCCATCAATTGGTAAAAGAACCACTCTTTGTTTTGTTGTAGATTCACTCATTCTATGAAAATGTCTAGTGAATTTAGTGTAGCATTTTATATATTAGGGATGTTTATTTAAGCAATCATATTGGTCAAAACTTAGTATTCTGATTGGCCGATTGTTTAACCTTAACATAGTCCAATAGCTTTGTGAGATTGCCTAGACTGTCCTAAATTAAATGATAGACATGCATCATTGAAGTGAAGATAATTAGCAAATTTGGGACGATGTCTCAAATATTTACATAGAAATGGATAGAAGAACGATATCTGCAAGATAGTAACTACTGTTTATATCAAAAAGTTCTATTTTACAATTTTTAATGCAGCATCAAGTTAGTTCATAGAAATGAGGCTAGATAGTACATCAAAGTTATGGTTAATAGTCGAGGTTAATAGAGAAGGCGAGAGAGCCAACTCCTTATGGTAAAACGTGACCCAATATTTATAGTCAGACAAAATGTAAGCTACAGACATGTGATGGGTAGGATAAACAAAGTATACACATACACACATAAAAACAGTCAAGGTTAATGAGTAAATAATTGACAAGGTCAAAACGTGACTCAAGAAGAATGGATAAAGTGACCTGTACGGAAGCTAGAATAACCCATATTTGGTTGAAATAGTACCAGACACTACAGATTAAAGTGAATAAATTATTAAATAAGCAATCATCTATAGCACTTGGAAACAACTGGAAAGGAGATCCCAGGACGGAATTGGCTGGTGAGTCCTGGTCAGTGGCCTATGCTTTACGAGAAGCAACAGGCGTAAGTCATTTTATACGACAAAAATCGGTTCACCATAGAACAAATCAGTTAAGAATTATGAGCAATATTTCCTCGCATTTTAGTAAAGCAAAAGCAACAAGGTTTGGTAAATAAAATTTAGTTTTCTACAAATTATCTCGCTAAGTGCTAAGGAAAAACTCTCCTTTATGTCAATAGAGAATTGTGTCTACATATTAGGATGTGTTGATTGTGATGCGTTTTTTATTGGTTAGTCATCCGACGAAATCTTGACTCGAGTCAAAGTACATATTAAGTACACAAAGAAATCGCCTAATAATCATGTAGAGCTAAAAAAATTAAAGTAAATCGACAATATCAGTTCAAGCCATTTTGAATTACCATCAAGTTGATATTAAGAATATCAAAATAATACTCAAAGCCTCTTCCAACTAGAAAGAAGGGCGAGTAGCTGAAGCTTCCCATATATTGATTAATCCTTCTGCTCACAGTAGAAAAGAAGGCCTCACTATCCATCCGATTTGGACCATCCATCCAAACTACCCTGTGTGATTCTATTCCCATCTCACACCATTATCACAAATATAGATTCAACTCTATCTTTTCGCACCACAAATATCAGATTTTTTCACCCTTTTCCATACATATACATACAAATACACAAACACGCTTCACATAAATCACCTTGACCGGAATTACATGACACTGATTTGGTCAGACCGGATTTTTGATGATCGCACCAAATATTCTCTTTTACTATTTAAACTGGGGCTAATTTAATTTGGTTATTTTTTCTTTCAGGAAGTGGCTTACACAGAGTCAGGAAACATCAGAAGATTTGAGAATTTAGTTTTTCTATTCATCTCGATATTACAACTATATTTTTTTATTAATAACAATCTACCCAATGCTAAATCTATTTGAGATTATCACGTCAAACCTTGAGAATGATATATATATATATACCATTATACGTCTTGATAATAAATTAGTTGAAGAAATCCCTTTGCTGAACTTCGTGTTTTCAGTGCGTTTATGTCTCTTCAAATGATTTAGTTAATGACTTAAACGAGTGTACACCATCAGACAAGTAAGTAATATTTAGAATAACTGATAAAAGTAGGAAAAATGGTGTCATATTTTGAAATCTATAGTATTAAATAACTACTTAATCTTTGATTGATTGAATGAACCAGTACAATAGATGAACATATATGTATAAATGAATAATACTCACTTTCTTAAATGAATTTCAATATTCATTTACGTTTTAGAGTGAAATTTCATGCTTCACTTAGTTACAACCGTTTTTGGCAAAAAAAAATTGATCTTCCGTGTATATTTTTCAATAAAATCTAATATACTCGCGTTCAACTTCAACCAACTAAATAACAAGTACGTTTTTCTTATATATATCCAATGCCACCGGTTGTTAACTGCCCTGTTATCAATACGGTTAATTCTATGTGACTCAATTTCTCACCAATACTCGAAAAAAAATCCATTTAGAAACGAATCTTTAGTAAATGTACTATAAATATTTAAGACGACAGTGGAATAGTTGTCCATATGAGAGATAGTCTTCATAGTCTTATTAAAAATCACATACTTATTAGTAACAAACTAGCTTCAAGATAAATTTCCTTAAGTTCATATAGGATGCCATGGACTACGGAATCAATTATATTATAAGTGTGGCAATGAATTTTCATTAGGATTTAATTATAGCGACACTTTATTGGAGGTTGTCTAATGTTAGTAGTGTGGACCATTGAATTCTGAGTTTGTGGTTCAATACTATCTTCATCTAGTAAATATTGAGAAATAGCAAACCAATCAGCATAAAACTGTTTTTCAATAGTTTACCAGTACATACCATCTGGATAAAAGATCTATTTAAGCATCTTATCACACTCCAACTAAACAATTTATTGTTGTAAATATAACCTACTTCAAAATAGTTTCTACTAATTTTTACTTGAATAGAACATCCTAGTATTTAATAATTGTCTGACTAACATCCGTCAGTAGTGTAAGCCATTAAACTGCTTTGAAGTCATAAAAGAAAATAACGTACACTTAATTGTTTAATTACTCTGTGCAACGTATCAGCCAGTAATATCATTATCAAAAATAGGGAACCATGAACTCTTAGTGTGGTGTGTGCTACTGAAGTTGACAGGTGTAAGTGGTATGTACCACCAATCGAAAGTAAAATGCCTGGAGGCAGAAGGTTAAGAAGATCGAAGACAAGAGAACGAGAACAGAGGATAATTGGTGTGGAGACGAAGGAACAATGAAGTCTGAGATGATTGATTGACATTTTGCAAGTGAAGTATTTACTGTATGATTCTAATTTTACTATGACGTTCTGTAATTTTTTTATTCGAATACATCCGATTGTCCACATTTGTGTTCTCGTTCACTAAATTACAAGTTGGCTCCATATATATATCAGTCTTATTGAATGAGCAATTTTAACTGTTATGCACGTAGTTCAACTTAAAAATTGTTACCAATTGGTTTTTGTATACGACAATAAACAAAATGACATTTAAATGTTGACAAAGGCCATGAGACATATTATTTACATAATATCTAAACTTGTAATTTGTTTAGTCCTAATAAAGATAATAATAAGCCAGAAAATTTCATTGCAAAATGTGACACGGCTTGGAGCTTAAAACTTAATAGTTTCATGGTCAGTCTGATAGTATTGAGCTAATGGTTCAGAATAAAAATGGTATGTTTTTAAATTTAGCTCATTTGCAATATGTTTTAAATATAAAGCTTACTTATGTGTTAATTTTGTATATAAATACATCTCTTAACGTAAAGGATACTCTTAGGTTACTATTATTTGATCTTCGAAGTATTTTTCTTGTATGTTCTGATCCATGAATGACCAATACAGGGGCTAGATGTAGAATAACAGACAAAGATGACAGATGATGAGGTAGTAAATATTCTTCCATTGAGGTGGTTGAGACATGTGCTACTTATGGCCAACCACTGCCTGTCTCGATGCAAAATCTCGACAAGAATAGCAATGGATATGAAAGATGGGTAGGTGGCCGAACTAAAATCTAGCATCAGGTCATAAAATGACTGACTGTTGGTCTGATAAATGTTGATAGGTGCATTTGTATATCGTAACGAGTGCTTGCATGTATTAGATAATGTTTCAGAATTGGTCCCAATGGTGCATATGCATCCAATCTTTTTTTCGGGCATGTTCTGAGTTTAGGAATTATTTTTACTTCCTTTATTCCCCAAAATACATTCATTCTCCTTAATCTATTTCAACCATATTGGTAGTTATCATAATAATTTGATTTAGTTTTGATGATGTAATGTGAAAACTTAGGACGACGCATATTTTAACCAGGCTCTACTTTGCTTATGATTGTCTTTAAATGATAATATTAATAACAATTAGTAGTCAAAATGATATTCTAATCAGTCCGTTGTTTTAATTTTCCGCCACATATTGCTAGTATTTGAGTATTAAATCGTACTGATAATAATAATAAGTTAACAATATAATGAGTAATTTGACAGAGAATTCTCAATTCATATAAACAAAGGTAACAACAAATAACATAAGAATGCATTAGCCGTAACTAATTTTTTAATAAATAAAAAATAACACAAAAGAATATGATCCATGATGATGGCTTATTGTTTTTCATGACGTTTATTATGAAAGAAGAATGGTCTTCAACAACCAATATAACTCAAATGTCATTTTATTGAATTGTCTGAAGGTCACTTAGATGTTTTCCATGTATGTGAATTTCTTCCATAAAAAAAGCATTCGAATTCACTGACCTATTAAAATTTTGAGCTTCGAAAAAAAAAGAAAAACGGAACGAACTATTTATGATGATTTAACTCTATTTAAAAGGTATTGATGACCACTTATAGTTTATGAAAACTATAGTCACATAAATGCGTATGGTTCCTTTTAACAAATAATATCCTTGTTTTCCTCTTTACATTAGAGAAATATTTGTTATTGTTGTGAAGTACATTAGGTTATAACAAACAATATTTCAAAATATTCAATCCCTTAAGTTCAGTTATGGTAGCATTATGTAGAGTCACTAAGTTTCACTGATCGATGACAAGCTTAAATCATAATACAGAGGCAAGCCAACAATCATACTAATATGACCTGTGATCTTTAAGTCACTTTCAACCTATGAACAAAGTATGTACAAATTAAAAAATATATTGAAAAGCAAAACAACCAGCCATAACAAACACCGGAAACTTTTTGGGAACGTTATTTCACTTAACCCGAAGCTTGTAAAGGACTAACACTTAGTACTATCCCTAGTTTATTCTATGAACCATAAGCTTTAAGTTTATGTATGACTCACTGTCGTATTCGTTTCTGTTCCAAAACTATTGTAATTTAAACGTAGCCTTTGATAGACTATTTTTATAACCTAATGCCTAGTTTGGACATAATTGCATTTTTCTAATTGTTTGTACGTTTTGGTCATCTTAGTCACCTATCTATTCACGTACCTTTTTGCACTGATCGGAAATGAATCGAGTAGTGTCCCAGTTGGCTTGTCTCCTCTCTCGATTACCAACCAATCAGGTGGCAGTATAGTCTTCATCTCTGCCCAAAGTCGTTAGTCTCAATTCGGACTCACGCACATATAACCTCAGGGATAAACCAGTTAGCCTAACGTGCCAGAGCCTTAACCAATACGAGACAAGTTCACTGCTGTATACTGTTGGGTAGACAAATTAAGGATGTAACATTATCAGTTTTTCAAGATTTATTTACTAGTGTTCCGATCTTGATATTTTAAAAATATATGCATAGTCCCACTCATTTGTAAGGAATTTACTCAAGCTAAAGGTAAACCTATGAATCGTCCTCATAGCTACAAATACCTTTCTAGAGAAACCACCATTGCCTACAAAATATTTGTTGGTAATTTCACTAGGAAGTTAGAGCGATGGACCCATAAGTCAACAATAATTGTCCCCATATTTACATAAGAAAGACATGCACAAGAGACACTATTTATCTTTGCATTCCTACTTCCCCAACTTACTGATTATTTAGTAATTCACTAATAAAATGACTTATTTCATAGTTTGCTATAAACGAAGTATTATGTACACAGAAAGAAGTGAGGATTCCATGTGTTTAACAGTCGTTTTTGCCAGATGATAACAAAGAATGTTTCCTAACAATTTTAAACTTTGAACAAACATATTTCTATCGATATTTTCATGTGATACAAAATGAAATTCACGAAAAATCACAGTAGTTTCCACAATTCTGATTGACTCAACCGTATAATAAATGGGATCCCAAATTTTTTTCTAGTACGACTGACAAAAGTGAAAGCTGACTTGTTACTGTGACCTTTGTTCTTATTCTAGGTGAATCACTTGTTATTTGATAAGTGACTCTGTTACACTATTTCATTTAGATATTTTCAATATAAACACTTAATCTATTGAATAAGAAAAAGAGAATTCAGCGAACAAAATTTTCTTTTCGACGAAATCATTTACTTAAGCTGAATTCTTTTTCTTATTCAATGACACTATGGGTTATTTTACATAATCTATTGTCCATTGGTTTTGTTTTTTAGATCTTTTACGGTTGATATTTAGGTATCGGTTTCGTAAGCGAATTTCCAGTTCGGTCTTCATCAACTGTTCCATAGAATTTAGTAACCAATCACACAGTCAAAACATTTACACTATGAACCCGAAAATACTCAAATGCTAATTAAATTAGAGTGATAGAATACTTCCCGTAAGTTTTTGTGAAACATGGGGTAGCAAACAACTTGTAATTAGTTCAGAAAAAAATACAAAACCTGGGAGGTTTACGATAATGTAAATTCAATAAACAATCGAAGTTCTTACGTGGAAAGTTTCCCAAAACGTTTTCACCTTTGGATTTCACCATACTTCTTTTATGTTCGTCACCATAAACTTTCAATCCTTTTCAAAGATTTAAGACTCATGAGTAACAAAATTTACTACGTTCTGTCACTGACAAGATGAAAAGTTATATATTACTTTGTCACTCTACCTTCATCATAGTCATTAGCAAACTAAAAGGTCAAGTACACCTGTTAAGTTACGATTCAAAACTTCATTGACTTTCGTCAGTTTATCCATCTTACGGTCTGAAGAAATTCGATGGTAGTCATCTTGTGGAGTCACTTAGAATAGTATCCAAGGTAAAAATGTAGAGCAAAGATATATGGGTCCCATGAGATCCCAAAGAGCTATGGTAAGTCAGATTGGAATTTGAGCGGATTAAGATCTCTAACCGAATGACTATTTTAAAATTATAACGATTAAACGGACCAACTAACATTATTGTATGAAGTGTAATGCATTTGTAAATCAAGATTAGGTAGATCTATGTACCAAAATGAAGTAATCATTAACTGAGAATATTGGCCAGTTGTCCGTTGTTTCGCGAGTCCTCAGAAGTTTGTACTTAAACCTCCATAAAAGCAGGGTCGAGTCAGCAGCGTAGCGAAACTTCAGCTTAGTTAGAGAAATTTCACTTGAAAAAAAGGAAATATTGCAACAGTACAAGTTCGAAAATAACTGATTATCAACGTTTTTTGGTTGTTTTGTTCATCATTAATTTTACATTGGACGTTAGCGAAAATAATTGATTTCGTAACAAAGAACTGATTATTTTAATATTAAGAAACATGACATTAAAAGATGACGTAACTACGAAGGACTATCACGTTGGTTGACTTTATTTTAATACCACTGGTATCAAATTAGTCGTTTGCTATTTATGAACAGAAAATTAAGTTAAAAGTGTGCATTTATACTTGACCGACTTTTATAAGCACAGTGATGATTTAGGATGAGACTTACTATGAAAGATGAGTGAGTGACCAGATGGACTTTTTGTTACATTCCTTAGCCAAAGGCCAGGAAACGGTCAAATGAAATATGACCATTAGCTCGAACATCGAAATTTACACTATACATCAAAAATTCCAGAACGACTATATATTTTCGGATACAATATTTTCTGATAGTTTAAAGAGTGTATATATTAAAAGTGACTTATTTTGAAGGTGTCGTGTCCTCTGAGCTGAATTGTTTAATCGTGTATTTCTTGACGGTATCACGAGTGTACAATTTAATAAGTGACGCCTCTCTCGGTTTAAACCTATGACATAGCTTTACATATATCAATGCATGTAGACAACATTGAAAATTAGATCGACTGGGAAAACATGGAAACATTGGATAAAGAAAATGCAAGTAATGTTGGAGAATTTTTAAAAGTCCGCATTCTGGGGATGCACCAATTAATAGGCCTATAGAAGTCGACTCAGCTTATTAACTTAAAAGAAAAAGGATAAACAGCTCCAAGGTCGGAGGTCAAAGCAATAGAAATAGCTATGTAAACAACGGCCACAACAAGCCAGTAAATTCTAGTTCAACGAAACAACATGCTAGTCATTTGTAGAGAAATTCTAATGAATCACCTCTTATTGAAGTATGTGTATTGATAATGTTGTCGGAAAAGACGATGAGAGGTTCACGAATAAACTATTTAGCTCAGAGAAAATGCCTTCAAAATATTCATCCCAAGCTACAAATATTCTCCATAATCTCAGTGATTTATTTAACAATAAAACGGAATACAAGTAATCATCCGTTAATTATACTTCCGGTTACTTAAGTTTATCAAGGCTTTATACAATTCGTTGATTTATACGTAACCACAAAAGAACTTCTAAGAAAATTAAATTAGGGAGTAAGTTCAATTCGTAATAAGTTTTTTTTTAAATGGCATACGAACAAAGTATAAATTGAACGGAATATTTAATTCCAATGTGTACCACTAGTTAGATAGTTCAAATTAAGAAGAGCAGAAATGCGTGAAATAAAATTATTATTTACACGTGAATACCAGTTAAAAAAAAGAATATAGAAAGACAGAAATCATTTAGTCAGTTAATTCATCGGCTAGATCAGATTGACCAAAAGTATGAGATATAAGATTGATACATAAATTGAAAAATTCAATATCTTCAGCGACAACGCTGCACTGTTTCACATTATTATCAGTAGTAGTAGGAAATGGTGACTGCTCGAAATCCTGTAGAGAAAAGTTATAAATAAAATATACACCTTACCCGTCTTAATTTGCGGCATCGTTTAACGATAGTGCGAAGATCATGGCATAAATCTGGATGAAATGGTGGCTCCAAAGCAACCAGAAGAGAAAAAATCCACACGTTCTATTGATAAAAAACACCATATTTTACACATGCAAATAAATATGGCAAAGGAAAGTAAGATCTTTTGTCAAGTCATGTGATGTCTGGTTATGAAAAACAAATACTGTTAATTCGGTTAGCTATAAGTTACCGAGTTACGGTACATTTTTAAAGAGATTCGGTAATGTAAATGTGAAATATAGTTTTGACAGGAAGGACAAATAAGTAACGTCTAAGTAATTAGAACTAACAGATCATAAGCATAAAATATCCGCAGAATTTGAACTCAATTTTCACACATACACTTGGTGTCCATGTATAATTCTGATACTTACTGTAAACTGATTTCAATAATGAGTTATATTGATTGATAAATATAGAAATAGCTTTTGCTCTGGGACAAAAATCAGCTAAACGATAGTTAATATAGTAGTAGTAATGGAGGTAAGTGGTTATTGACCGGAAAAATTAACTCATATTTGAACATGATAGTTGATTGAACCCTTGTTTTAAATATCTTGATTTTTAATTTCAAGTTAAGTTTTTTATATCTAACTAATTACTCCTGTCACTTTTTATGTCCGAGGAGTGCTTAACTAACTTGTTCTTGGTACTGAAACTCTGAATCTGACGATGTGCACTAAAAACACAAAAACTAGTAATACGAATTTATTTAACAATCATAGTAAATTAAAATGATGCAGGAATATATCACTTTTTATATGATTTATTAACAGTCAGGTTTGTATAATTTGAACTAAGTAAGGTTTCACATCAATTAACCAATAATTTACGATGTGCACACATTTCTACAATATCATACTGTGGTGCATGCTACTTATGCTGACAGATATAAGTAGTGTGAAGCAGCAATGGGAAGCAAAATGCCTGCCAACATAAGATTGAATTAATAAGAACAGGAAGGTAAACACAGAGTAATTGGAATAATGACAGAACTGGGAGAATTAGGAAGTATGTAAACGACAACTGAAGGAAAATGTCTAAATAATGATTTATTGCATGATTTTCATATCTTACGAAGTGTAATTTTGTATAAAACAATAAATTGCTTTTCCCCACCTGAGTTCTTGTTCACTACAACACAACTAGACATTTATGAACAACAGACATAACTAAGTGACTAAGTCATACAATTACATCTCAAAATGGGGTCACACGCTACAGATGAACAATTTTATATATCAATCGTAGTCCAATCGATCAAATCGTTGCTTCCTATATCAACTTCTTTTAACATATAAGTGATCTTCTTATTTTTAGATTGAACGTAAATACTCTACAGCTGATATATCTCTGAGTTCATTTAAGTACGGATAAACAACTGGTGAAGGATATTACTGCACCAAGATGTGGTAATCTTTACTAATTTAACCCAATGAGAAAATCTTGTGAGATTATGAAACATTAAAAATGTACATCCTTATTTGACTGTGATTTCGTACATAAACATTTTTACTAAAGAAATGATAAGACTTTACAATAGAGGATGATTCTATTATTTTATGAACAAATTTCTGATTCTTAGAATCAATGAGTACAATCACTGATCGATGGATGGTGTATAATTATATAACGTATGGTCAAATGTTGGCTGCTCACGAGATCGTATTATTGACGTAGACCCTCGAACAATTCGAAATCGAAAACAGCAGTAATAGCCAGAGAGGGTGGTTTTATTGTGAGATAAGATGACATGTTTCCATACAAAACGCTAACACGATAAATATCATAAAATGTCTTAGGCGACTGAAGGAAACTAGTTGGTAGATCACTTATTCGATAGTCAGTCAGTCAGTAACAACGTAGAACTTCGTACGTACGTACATCAGTTCGAGTTGCCACACCACATTAGCACAGAGATGCAGTTGTCGATTCAAATCCCGTAGTGGTAGAGGTAATAAGAGTATAAGCAGTAATCGGGAAGATTAGGGTTTGGAGATGTTATTTAAAGAGTATAATCCAGTGAAATAAATTTGGAAAGAGGAAAAAAGGGACATGAAGAATTCAGAAGATTAGAATTTGGGAGAACACAGAGAGTGGATGCACCTGCGCCATTGCAAACGATTTTGAGCCATGTCATTCAGGGTCTCTAACCATCGGTTGCTATCATCTCGCGGTCCCCAACCAGGTAGTCTACACCTACCAACATGACTCAGTCCACTTGTCAGTGACTTCATGGACTTGTGCCATGTTTTGGTTTGGCCGCCCCTAGCTTTCTTCCAACCTACTCCTATACCACTGAACATAGCACGTCGAGGCAGTCGGTCGTTGGGCATACGTAACACGTGTCCCAGCCATCTCAACTGATGAAGTTTCACTACGTCATCAATTGATTTGCCATCCTTACCTAGTACCCGTTTCCTAACAACTCCGTTACTTACTCGATGGTCCCATGATATACGAGCAATGTTTCGAAGACACCTATGATCAAATACTAGTAACCTACGAATATCCTCTACTCTTACCGGCCATGTTTCACTGCCATAAAGTAGGACGGAACGAACTGCTGCGCAGTAAACACGTCCTTTGGTTGATAGACGGATATCTCGCCTACGCCATAAATGACGCAAGTTGGCAAAAGCTAGTCGAGCCTTCTGTATCCGTGCTGAGATTTCGTCACACACCAACCACAAGGGCTGATGAGACTTCCAAGATAAGTGAAGCGGTCGACACACTCAACTACTTCACTCCCTATCACTAGTTCGGGTGTCGATGTAACCCAATCCTGAAGCAACATTTTGCATTTCGAGGGAGAGAATCGCATCCCGAACATGCTTGCATTGTTGCTTAGAGTGGTCAGAAGACTCTGCATTTTGTCAGCGTCTTCACCAAATAAAACTATGTCATCAGCATATTCTAAGTCAACAAGTGAACCTCCTGGTAGAAGTTCAACCCCTGGAAATTTAGATGAGGAGAGTGTTATCTCTAAAAGTACGTCGACCACAAAGTTGAACAAGAATGGGGAGAGTGGACAGCCCTGACGAACACCACTTGAGGTAATCAATTCTGATGACAGTTCGCCATAAGCTCTCACTCTACCAGTTGTGTTCGAGTAGAGAGCCTTTATAAGGTTAATGTACTTCTTTGGTACTCCTTTCAGTGACAAACACTGCCATAGAACCTCACGATCAACAGAGTCGAATGCCGCCTTAAGGTCGAGAAATACTACCATTGTGGGGCGTCTGAATGTGTGTCTGTGTTCTAGAACCTGACGTAGTGTGAATATCTGATCTATACAACCACGTCCAGGTCGAAAACCAGCCTGGTTTTCTCTAGTCTGCTCTTCACGAGCTTTAGTTAGGCGTCGAAGTATTATTGAAGCTAATATTTTAGACACTATATTAGTCAAACTGATTCCTCTGTGATTGTCACAAGAGGACTTTTGTCCTTTCTTATAGACTGGCACAATCAGTGATTGAGACCAGTCAGATGGGATTACGTCCAGTTCCCAAATTCTACCTAAGACCTCAGTTAATCTCATTGCTAATACTGGACCACCATCCTTAAAAATCTCAGGAGTAAACCTGTCAGGGCCTGCTGCTCTCCCTCGTTTCAGATTTCCTATGGCTTTTTCAACTTCGTAAAGGGACGGAGGACCTACATTAACTTGCCATTCAGGTTGACTGGAGATCGTGGGAAACCGAAGTGTGGCTGAAGGCCAGTTGAACTGATCCCTAAAGTGTTCTGCCCATCGATCCAATCTCCTGGATTGAGAATGAATAATATGTCCATCTTTCTCTGAGATTGTTTCGCTAACGGTCGGGTTCCTAATTCCGGTTTCCTTAACGAGTCTGAACAATTGTCTGCTATTACCTATTGCCGCTGCCTTTTCCATCTCTCTTGCTTTCGCTACCCACCACTGTTCGCGATCATTGCGTAGACTTCTTGTCAGCTTGCGCTTAAGCTGACTCCGCTCTTCATTATGTTCAGAGCCAGGTGGAATGAGTTTCCGAGCATCTATCAGTGCGATAGATGCTGCTGAGATCCAGTGTTGCTCCCTAACCTTCTGGTTTACCTTACTAGCAGATATCACTGCTGTTTCCACAGCTTTTCGGATATCATTCCATGCTGCATCGGGGTGGGCATCACATACATGGCTGCCTAACTGTTTTCCTAGTTGTTCCTGAAATATACTCTTAGCTTGACTATCATTAAGTAGGGCCCTAAGAGGTTTCCTTGCAGCGTCTTTCCTACGTCCAGTAAGACGCAAGCAAATACGCGCTCGCACTAGAGCATGATCTGAATCTAGGCATGTGCTCCAGAATGAGCGACAGTCTTCTATCGAGCCCCTCCATCGGTGGCTGATAGCGATGTGATCTATTTGGGTCCAACGTTGGGACGAATTAGGGGGTCGCCATGTTAAAAGATGTTTTTCCTTATGCTTAAAGTTAGTATTTGCAAGGAACAGGCGGTTATCTGAGCATAGCTGCAACAGACGGTCGCCATTATCTGTTCTTTGAGCCACGACACCATAAGATCCACCTAGGTGTCTTTCCCTATCGCTTAGTTTACCTACTTGAGCATTAAAGTCACCGGCCACTATTACTACATCCGAGCGCCTAGCTTTTCGGAGAAGGTCCGAAAGCTTTCTGTAAAACTCATCTTTTACATCATCTGAGCTGCAGTCAGTGGGAGAATAGGCAGAGACGACGAAGAGGCAACGACGAGTGTCCCTATCTTTCCGGATTCTTACTGTTCCGTTCAGTCGGACAGCGCACAAACGACTGTCTACTGGGATCCACTCTAAGAGAGCTAGTTCTGCCCTAGGACTCAATGCTATACCTACGCCGGCGAGGCCACGGGAAGCAGAATCAGGGCTTCCAGATACACGAAGCGTAAATCGAGTCGGTTCTTTATTTTGGCATGGTGAGGTCAAATGAATGACGCTACTCGGATCCTGTATGCGCGTTTCGGAGACGCAGCACACATCGATGGCGCGAGATTCTAAAGTTTTAGCTAAGGAAGCCTGCTGTCCTATTTGGCAAAGTGTTCGTACGTTAAAAGCTCCTACGTGTAGTTTAGAGCGTGGTTTCAGGAGACCAGGAATGGCGTTCCACGTACTCGAATCGTTTGCCCTAGCGGTGCGAGGTGATAAAGAGACGTGAGGAGGGTTAGTCATGGAGATAAGAGAGGTATTAGGAGGTGTAGGAAGGATTTGAATGTGACCACCTTGGTCTCTTGTGCTGTTACGGGTATGAGGGCTGATGTCACTTCCCGGCTGCCCACACCGTGGAAGGGTATTTCTTGAGGAACCTGAAAAGGAAATTGGATTAGTGTTGGTCTTGACGACCTGGGAGCGTGACCGCAGAGCCCAAGGGACAACTGCTTGAGGCCGGTCGCGCACGGCCTTTTTGTGGAAGGTTTTTGACGTGTTAGCTCCGTTCTTCAAGGGGCCTTACCGCCGGAGACGGAAATCCGTGAGGTAAGGTGAGGTGTGACATTTTTAGGGTCGACCTTTTCTAACCCCACCCCTCCTTGTGGGAAGGCAGCATCGCTGTCATGCTGGTTGTCCGAGGGAAACACCTTACTGCTGTCACACCTCTCTACAGTCAGCAGTACGACTTCGCCCTCAGACCTTGAGTTGCTGCTTTTAGTCTTACCGTTCACCAATCGACCTGCCTGGCATGGTAGAACCTACAGGAACATATGTTCCAGCCAATATAGCTCGGTTGGGTCATCACGATAGGCAAGCCTGACCACCGCGTCAAGGTAGCAGCTTCGGTCGGAACTTATTCGATAATTAAGACCTGGTTATTAGCCTCAAGTTTTGTTCATTATATCAAACTCTTAAATCATATATACAGTAATTTACTACGTTAAGACTAATATTATCATTTAAGTGGATCAACAAAATTATTATAACCTGTGTTTTCTTATTTTGGATTAAACCTATGTTCACTTATCAGAAAATTATGATCTTTTTATAATTATTTTTCTCATACCTGTAAAATTAAATTAACTTACCAATTTAGAATTCCAGTGCTTTTTGGTGCATACGGATGCAACCAAATTAATCAATGTCATAATTTCTGACTAAATGATGAAATGGAAAAATATAAGATAGATAAAATAAAAGTGAAGATTAATACTACCCTGGTTCGTTGAGCGATCCAAGTTAAGGATGGAGTGTGTTCAAGTATTGTTGTTTTAGTTATTGGAATAACAGTTCTAGTCTATGAAAACAAAATTACAGAAAAAAATGCACCAAAGTAGTTTATAAAACGTTAATTTATAAGTATGACTAATTAGATCGGACTAATGGTCTCACATTAGTACGTTTTTTTAATCTCACCAGTTGATCTAGGTAGTGTGGTGAAATTTAGCTTTGCTGTGATATGATATTCAGGGTGCCTTAGACCGCTTTTTGTCCTGTTGTATATATATTCCTAATGGGGTAGTGGGTTAGACATTCAACGTTTAACCACCTGTTTGCAGACTCAAGTCCTGCTCAACATACTTCAGTTTGAATAAACAAGTAGTATCACTAGCCTTTACGCAGTGTGGCTCAAAACAGAGTACAAGAATTTGTACTTGGTAAATGAGTTGCATTTATCTCTCTACCTAGTACATATAAACTTTTATATTTCATTCTACTATTATGTTACTGAGTCATTCACTAGCAATATGGAACATAGCACAGATGTGAATCGGTTCAATTTTGGAAACCATATAAGCACAAAAAGAGTAAACCGATAACTAGTACCAGAGACCTTGGAAAACTGATCATAGAGTATATGGTTTAGAAAGAACAGTAATATCAGAGGAATGAAATTTCTAGAATATTATAACTCAAGATTTGAAAGATGAAAAACGAACACAATCCCACGTCGATTCTGAGGCAACAATGACATATTTAAACAGAGATCACCATCGTCGTGCAGAATCTAACAAGGAACCCTGAACCTATTGATATGATTCGAAACAACAGTCATTGACTGCATGGACTGATGTCAAGTCTAGGTTTAAGTGTCTCTGGCTTTTTCAACTTTTATTTATTTATTTATTTTAACACATAGATATTAGTACAAGGAGGCACCAAATACATATGCGCCACACAAATCTCATTTGATATGTGTGAGCGCTGTGATACTACCCGGGCGCCCAAACCGAAGCAGGTGGTTTTCTTAAGGGGCCACACCTGGAGCCTTCGACCTGAAGGTCTGATCCACAAGGCAGTGGAGCATCGTAAAATGATGCAGTCCCATGGCAGCCGGTGACCAACGATTGGTTCATACGCCATTTGTTCCTTTAGGATACTGGAGCCCATACGCCCCATTGGTTTGGAATCAGGGTTTTCCAACTCCCGTAGGTGGACTCTCCATGTCCACCAACCCGGTTAAAGAGCCGGACATTTGCTTTTCGCCCTCTCAATTTCGTAAACACCCCCCCTCCACGAGAAGGCAATGAGTAGGACTTCCCTGGCAGAGGCTATATACGCGTGGCCATGTGAGAGCATTTCGAGAGGGTGCGGATTCTCCCCACTCTCGGCCGTACCAGGCCATTTTCCAACTTATTCCTATACAAACCAGGGTTACAAGTCAATGTAGGCGGTCGACGAAGCTTCATAGGTTTATCAACCTATCTGTCATCTTTACCTAGTGATCTACACTTAAATTTACCATTGTTTATTCGATGACTTCATCATAACCTAACGGTGCCACGAAGATATATATATTCCCTACCTCCAAAGGACATGTTTTAAAGCCACAAAGTAATATAAAGCTGAATGGTGTTTAGTATAATTTCCTCTTGATTTTCCTCAGTTTCACAAACAGATGTGTCTGTTCTTATACGTTAAGAAGAAAAGCCGTCAATACTGGTCAAAAACGGTAATAATTACAGCTCTCAGGTTAATAATAACCCAGTCAATTTCATTATTAATAAATATCAGTATGGGGTTGTGAAGATAGTTAAGTTTAAATTGATATCACGAAAGGATTAATGTTAGACCACCATTGACAACCTGGAAGCATTGAACGACCATTTCGTCCTAGTATGGGACTCCTCAACAGTGCGCATCCACAACCCCGCACGTTGGACTCGAACCCAGGACCTTCTGTCTCGTACGCGAACGCATAGACCACTGGGCTGGCATCCAATGGTGTTAATGTCTAACTCCAATTAGTCCCATACTAGGACGAAACAGCCGTCTAGTGCTTCCAGGTTTTCAATGGTGGTCTAACATTGATCCGTTCGTGATATTAATCAAAGAGTCACTCTGAAACTAATTCATAAGGTCCTGCGAATTCACCTCGCCTCAAGTTAGTCATGATCTTTTCGATCTCGCTGGTAGCCGGGAGGTCTGTGTCAATTTCCCAACCACGGTGTTGACGAATTGAGATTTCCTGTTATTCAGATATTAACTAAGCTATACTTGTATACCAAATTTTGCTGTTCTAATTTACTGTGCTGTCATAAGCATTAAAAAAAAGTAACTTAATGGTCAATCATGAATAAATGTAACTCATTTGCCAGACCCAGGATTAAGTACTCTCCTGAGCCTTACAGTTTCGCAACGGCTACTGACGTCTTGTTGCCTAAAACGAAATAAGTGAACTGGTGTTCGAACGCGTGATCTAACAGTTGGGGGTTAACTACCTTAACCATTCCAAACAATTCTTTTGAATGACACATACTACTAAATCATCTGATATACCAATTTAAGATAAAGTTTAATTTACACAATATTCAAACGAATTAATGTATCCACCTTTCATTGTCACAATTGCATACTACAAACGGATCTGTTAGTCTACATTTCTTCTTAGCTACCAATAGAATGGTAAGTTACTTCAGAAGAATCGAACAGATATCTAAGCCATTAATAATGTGACATAATTGTGAAGTGTGATCGATGAACGAACTTGCCAATGATAAGGTGAAACGCCCACCACTGCATTAACTTTCTTTGACCATGTGTGACTATGCCTTGTTTATTCACCAATCACAATTTTATGTTCATTATAAAGCAACATTCGCCTTGTTGACTCATTTTTCCTATCCTCTAGTTACTGTTCGAAACAGAGATAGTTTATCAAGCCGAAGAGCTTACTTGTTCTGACTTTGGCTATATTAAGACTATGTGCTCGACAGTCTACAGAATAGCTTAAAGTTACACCTGTAAGAAGTTGCTTCCTACAATAATCACCTGCAGAAATCAAATAGCTCCATCTTGAAACAACTTTAATAGTAAGTGTGCAACATCACCACTAGGATTTTTACTTATCAAAGTGCTTTTAACATTAATCTACATGAAATATTGTGAAGATAAATATTAGATACGACTGCTTACCGTATCATCGAAATTTCTCAAAACTAGTGACTTCAAACATTGGTATTCCTATGAGACAATGAATAAAAATGAGACAGTTTATTACATCAACAGTTTTACGGAAATGAGTGATTTGATTTTCCTGTAAATGTCTTGAAATCTTCGTGGAAATGACCTTGCAAGTTTTTTTAATGTCATTGTCAGTCGATTTAAAATACTCAGTTGCTGAGGTAGCCGTTTGGTTGACCATACCTGTAGGCGGATTTTGACAACATAACACACTCGGGAATGATGAAGCTTGATACCTATCATTAACATTATTATTTATCAAACATACCGCACAAATTTTAAGTATTCATCAGGTGATGTAAGGGCCTTCTCGTGATTAGGTGGATCATTCAAATCAAAATCCGAAACTGGCAGTGCTTGCACAAGCAAACCAATATCTGAATCCTCTGAATCGGACATTTAATTGAATGTATCAAATTGAGATTATTCCCTTTAAAATAGATAGACAATACACACGAAAAATGAAGTCAGATGGATCAGAAAACATTCTTGTGACTACTTTTGATTTGTATTTTACTGTTTTTCATTTGATGTATCTTAAAAGTACACAAAACACCCAAGAGGGGAGCGGAAAGCTGAAAATAAATTAGATCTTCGCTAAGCTTTACAATATTGTTCGCTCATATATGTTGTTCTTATTTTCTCAATAAGAATCTTGAATATTTAAAAAAGAAATTATTCATATTTAGCACAATAGTGGGAACCAGTGAAGGTTTCTTAAACCTAACACTACTGATTAATTTCACCACTGATATTTCAGAAGCATCTTTGAAGAAAATGGCAGATGAAGCCGACATGACTTGGAACTTTTCGAGTACATGAACGAAATCACATGACTGAAATCGTAGTTATTTGGTAAAGTGACTACATTTAGTGTCTGAGGTTGATACAACGGATGCTTTAAAATATTTTTCTCACCATCAGATATATTACAATACGTTAATACGATAATGAAACTAGCCACGTTATATCGGGTAAAGGATTCACGACCCAGAATACAGAACCAAGGTATAAACTAAGGGTCTAACCCACAAGACAGTAGGGCAATGTTAGGAAATGCAGTCCCACAGTATCCGAACACCAACAATAGGTTCATACACCCTTTGTTCCCTCAGGATCCTGAAGCCCATGTGCACCATTGGTTTGGAATCAGGGTTTTCCAATTACCCTAGGTGAATCCTCTATATCCACCAACCAGGTTAAATAGCTAAAAACTCGCTTTTTGTCCCCTTAGTATTATTAACAACGCCGCCGCAGTGAGAGAACAGTGAATAAGACTACCCCTGCAATACCTGTATACGCAAGGTCATGTGAGGGCAATATGAAAGGGAGAGCGGACTCTCACCATCACCAGCCGTATCAGGGCATTTGAGGGGTAGCTATGTTGTTTACCGAGTGAAAATCCGGAGAGAATCCTTAACTCAATAAAATACACCCTAATATTAGAATAACATCATTATACGACTGTCGGACAAAATCTCACCATTATCTTTGTTTTGTCTTCTTACTTAAAATTATAGTACCAATATTTTACTTTTACTACAGAGTATCTTGAGAAAATCCAATCTCAATCTCGACGAGACTATAATTTATGGACGACCTTACAGCAACGTTAAAGTGACATTGGGAATGTCCAAAAAATGCTAGGCGAGGGTTATAAACCAGTGCGATGAATTAGAATTATGATTTTCAGCTGATGGTTAGGGTTAGGAAACAGATTTATAGCTTTCATCACGAACTGACGCCATCCATAATGTCAAAACGCTATGTCAAGCCGATATGGGTTATTCTGGCCTCCGGACAGACCAATTTGTTCATTCTTCTTCAGTCACATTTTGACTTTGTCAATCGCTTACTCATTAACTTGACTGTATATGGGCATGTGTATCGCCCCATTCATCAAGTTTCTTTAGTTTACTTGTCTTCCCCGTCTCGCTTCTCATTCTTATTGTCTGTCTGAACAAACGAGTGCCCGAAGTGAATTCGTCCAACTCAACGCGCATTTGGCTTCTCATTATCACCCTCAGACAGACGGAGTTAGCATAGATGTAATATACGGAGTTGAATGGGATATCTATTCTCATGGCACATTCAAACGTTCCTTAAAACTGGAGTCATATCAATGGGCCACAAAACTGGTGTGCCCTTCTTATTGATTACTCTACAGCAGTAAGAGAGTCAGGAGATTTCAAGAACCTATCAAAGGAAAACCATGTATCACGTTGCTCAGACAAACTTGCAGGTCAACGTAGTCTGGTCATTTGAATAAACGCGGGGTAATTCCAAAGTCATATCTTGTTTCGTTCATGAAAGACTCATTCAACATATCGTGCACCAACACAAACAAATTCGAAGTAATATCCATGGCCAGTTACAGAAATATCCATCGCAAGTATAAAAAGACAGCTTGATACAGAGTTATGTGTAACTGACTGGTAGGTCATGTAGTGGTTAATGAACTTATTAATTCTCAAGTAGTTCTGTAATTTTTCAACATTGATGCAAACCTTATTATTTTATTGGACATACTATATATGAAGGCAGTCAGTCACACACCTAAACTAGATTACCATCGGTTCTGCCGTGCTACGCACGCCTCATGATTATTAGACGGCTTAACTTACATACTTCTCGAAACTTCAGTTATCTTGCAAATATATTTTCGAACTCATTCATCTTTCACGTCCGTTCAGGATCCTTGATTCTAGGGGTAATATGAACAACAGTGTTGACATACCCTTAATATCCGTAACATCTTTTGTAGTAAGCTCGTCGTAATTCGGCACACTAAATGGTAAACTGTAAATTTGTTCCATGATGTGAAATCACGTTTGAATTTCTCGTACGTTTCGTGATGCGATTTTCGTGTTCCTAATTCTTTTTCACATATTTAGGATTTTTATTTTTAAAATGTCAAGATGCAAACTCAAACTGGAAAAGTTTAAGACACTTACACCTCCATCTTTCAACCCATCCTATCCTAGCCTGATAATACCGAAACCCGGTTCTGCAATGCACAGACCGACTTACACCAGGATGAGGTCACAGGCGCATGCGCGTAACTCTTTGCATTAATGAACGGTCTGAACAGGTACATTACACCCAGTATATCCATTAGTAATTTTTTAACTTTATGATACCCTATAAAAGACTGTCCTCGCTTGCGTAAACCAGTTCGCTATATTTTGTTGTTGCAGACGTGTCAATATCAGTCACTGGTATAGGCCAGCTACAACACCATAACTTACTCATCGACCCAAAAAATGGTGGAGGTTAGTAGATGGAAATAATTAACTAACTGTTTGTAGAACTTCGCTTTCTGGTTACAGGTTTTGTTCGATCACGATTAAAAACAGTATTGATCAACAGTTCCGACAAACACTTGACAAGTATCCTGAACTTTACAAAACACGAACAAAACTATAATATGTAACCAGCAATGTTACACACCACATCACGACTACAGAACCACCCGTAATCTTGAAAAAACACCGACTAGCTCCTGGGAAGACGAATTTGCAGACATGATGGACTTAGGAATTTTTCAGCTGTCAATAACTTCGTGTGCATCTCTTCCGTGGCTATCAGCGACTTCATAAGGAAAACACTTTTTCGCACATCCACGACCTGAGAACTACAGTTAAAGACCCTATTATCACTTCGACTTTTGACTTGGTTAAATTATTTGGCCGAATTTCTATGACTGTGGGAGATATTCTGCAAACGGCCATTAGCATCCCATTTATGCTCTACCAATTTTCGCAGATGTTTTTCGCTTTAAGAACTGTCGTTCAGGAGTACCAAACAGTCACTGATTATGTATTTCAAGATCTTGACTTTGTGCACAATTATGTCCATGACTGTCTGATCGAAAGTTCGGCCTGAGAATTTCATCTCTAGCATCTGGACTTTATTTTCCTACGACTGCAAATACATGAAGTCATTGTAAGGGTTACAGAATGTCGGATTGAAATCACCCCCGAGACATTGTCAGGCATCCCATTTAGGCTCAATGATTCACCTCTGAGAAATAAGGTGGATTGACCAGAACCTAGTACAGTTAAGAAACTGCATACATTCAGCTGATCAGTTATATATAGCTAGAGACCCGTATGGAATTGAGCTTGCGTTATACGACTGTCAACGGACCAGCTTCTCCAGCATGCGACAGTCACCAACTTTGACAAAAACGCGAGAAAGTCATTTACTACGGCGAAGGACATTATCACCAACTTTAACACCTCAACGCCAAGACATACATTGGAATCGCCGTAGACGCATCTAAGTCAGCAATCGGATGAGCCTCACAACAATGGGTGAATGACACTCAGCAACCGTTGGCATTTTTGCCGAAAAATGTTCAAAGACACTGGACCGATATGTAGCGATTTAGGCAGGAAAATCCTAGCTATATATTGTGCTGTACTTCGTGTTCAGCGCTCACTGGAAGGCGGATAACTCATTCAGTTAATCGGCTACAAACCTCTCATGTAACTGCCGAAATTCCAGTATTTGGTCCGTTACAACTTAACTATAATCTTAGCTCGCTGACCAACAAATACACTTCTGGTAAGTCTCGAAAACTGATCTTTATCCCAAAGCTTGATTCCATTACTCAATATATTTCTAGGCAGCCGATATGATTATAGACTTCTTATCTCGTAAAGCGTAAGTGAAAAGATTCCAAGGAAACGAGCTACTTGAACTCACTAAGCCGAGAAATGAATAAAGTGATCTTCAATACGAGTTATCTTCAAGAACCCTGGATCTATGAATCTAACAGAAAAGATACAGATAAGGCAACTTTACTTTGTGACAAATTAAGTGAAGGGGACTATTCAATCGTTCCCAAACATAATGGATGCAATGTCTTCAGTACATGGCAAAAAATTTTAGCAATGGTAATAAACCTCCGTTTTACATATGGATAAGGCCAGATTAGAGGTCGCAGTAGGTTTTTTTATTCAGAACGAGGAAGAGAGCAGTTTGAGTGTGAGGTCTCAAATAAAACAAACAAACGTTTCAACGTCCAACCTATGACATTAGGAAATATGATGCCCACACAAAATGAGGAAGCCAACGGATACTTGGGTTATAACATTTTGATATTACCCACGGATTTTCGGCCAACCCTTAATGATCCAACTTAAATTACAACATCAGCTTCACCTAATAATCAACTTCCATAGAAATGTTGGTTCAATCATTTTCCAAACCAAAAACTTGTTATGATCAGAAATGGATTTTGTGGATATCATAGTAACTTAATAGTTGACTTCATGAGTCAATCAAAGCTAGACCATCGTTGAAAACCTGGAAGAAGTGGACTATTGTTTTGTCCTGGTTTGGGACTCTTCAGCAGTGCGCATCCACGATCACTCTTCGCGAGCTTCGTACCC